AAAATATTAAAAACAAGGGTTTGACAACCAGAAGGTTCTGGAAGTTAATGCACAGAAAATGTAAAATAGTTCATGTTCAAGGATTTGTTTAGAATGTACAATAAAATATGGACTTCCATGAAAGAAAACTAAGAAATATGTTTGTGTGTGTTTGCTGTCAATTATATTTCTTAGTAAATACGACTGAGTCTGCAGATCAAACTTCAAACAAATCAGATTCCACAATTAAAAATCTGTATCTCTAAATGAAATGTTGTCCTTACAGTTGTTATTATGTGTATTTGGCTGTTTTAAGACAAATTACTTACCAACTTGTCAAGATTCTCTCATTAAAATAAACTAACAATCATCACACGGACCTATTTCTTCCTCTGATTTAATTAAATAGTGTTCTTCTATCTTTCATAATTTCCCTCTCCCTCTTCGAAAACATAATTATCACTCAGCAAGCCATCTGCATGACATGATTTTCTGTGAGTCCTTATGTCTATTTCCTGTCCGCCTTTTGAGGACAGAATCCTCAAGTATTACTTAATCTCGTTGGGCTATCAAACCCTCCATCAGCCCCGCTCATCTCCGCACCTCCACCCTTCCCTCAGCCAGTTGATCTTGTCTTTTGTTCTATCGCTCTCTTCAAACCGTCTGAAGTATCGTATGTAAAAAATTAAATAATCTTCCACTGAGTCTGTCAGTGGAAGAGCTTCAAAAGGCCTCCCTTTGGCATGCCATGAAAAAGTGACAGTCTGATTGAATATCTGCAAAAGCCAGCGCAGACATTGTGATCATGTTATTAGGGAACATATACAGGGTGAAGACAGATCTGTAGCTCCAGTTCTGCATCAAGGAGGAATACAAACCACTTTAGCTACAGTTTGTATTCTGTTCAGGTTAAACAGAGCCTGCACAAACAGAAATCTACGAAAACTGGTTGGCTGCCTGCCGACTTCAGTAACAGAAAAGCACACAGAGGAGCTGAGCATCGTGGGTAGAGGCGGCATCACAGCGTTGGGCCCCCTGTTCTCTATTCTTAGCTCCTTTTCCTCCTTCTCTCACAGTCACACATGACTAGGTATAGAAGAGGAGAGGTAGCAAAGGCATCTTGAGTTTGTCTCCAACAGAAACGGGATGGCGTTTATACTCGGTTTACTGTTTGTGTGGATTTTTGTATTTCCTACTATTTAAGCGTGGGGGAAATTAACAGTAAAACTGTAACAATCTATTCATACTTGACATTTTACTTGGTACAATATGAGGGGATCATGATTTGTACTCAAGCAGGGGGCATGCATGTGACCCACTGTTTGAATGGGCACTGACAATCGGAGGGTTTTCAATCGGAGGGTTTTCAGCCCCTGCAGGCAGCATATCCAAGTGTCATGGTGAAAGATACTTAAAGGTGGGGTAGGTAAGTTTGAGAAACCGGCTCGAGTGCGCTAGAATTAGAAAATACACAACCGGAAAAAATCTGCCACTTCCTTACAGAGCCCCTCCTCCAACACACACGAACACGTACATGACCAATGAGGGCACGAGATAAGTTTGTGCACAGATGGAAGGCTGACAGGCAGGTAGGCCATCCAGTTATTTTAGCCGGGCCGGCTAAAATGATTGGTCGTGCTTTTTACAGTACTACGGCTTCCACAGATGAAATGTTTTTATGTATTTTTTGTCAAAGCACTTAAGATATTTATTGCTATCGGGATGTTAAGAGCATTCCATGGAATATAACAAAAAGTGTATCTCGAGCCGGTTTCTCAAACTTACCTACCCCACCTTTAAGGTAACTGAAAGGCAGTTTTTTGACATACAAGCATCAGCTAGAATAATAATAATAATAATAATAATAATAATAATAATAATAATAATAATAATAATAATAATAATACATGGGATTTGTATAGCGTTTTTCCTACATTTCCTAAGACGCTTTACATAAAATCAGAACAGAAACAAAACAAACAAAAGTATCATATTTAAATAAAATAATAATAATAAAATAATAATAATAATATTCTAGGCTATTGTTGCCCGCTAATGCAAGAAAATGTAGCTAATTAGTTTATCTAACTCAAGTCAAATACACAGGTTAAAAACAGAGAAATTAAAAGTATATGGATTTCTCAAATTGTATTTACTATAAAAGACGTTGTGCATCCAGAGAGGCATGTATAACAGCTTTCAGCAGGGCTACATTAGGTTCATAGGCAACACCTAGCAACTGTGTTAATATTATATCCTCATTTTTTTTCAAGAGTGTTTTGCATGCATCGTTTTTGAGAGTCTTTTCTGAAGCGTTGTGTAACTACTTTGCTCTTCTCTCTCTGTCTATCTCTCTGTGTCTCTGAGTAAACAATAAACACCAGGCTGCTCAGCACCTGTAATCCTTCAACGACTCAATCAACATTTGTAAAGCTGCTCACACGAGGCTTGCAACCAAAACTGAGCCAGCCGGCTGTCTGAGAATTTCGGTGCCCACACATCGACGCCCATCTATCACAGCACTTCACCGTGTTCGCGGTCCGCCAGATCAAAACGGGGGGGAACCGCGCTCCCTCGGATTCAGTAATCCCCTCTACCCAACCCACACTCTCCCCAAAACATGCAGCATCACGACGCTGCGAACACACGCCCCTCCTGGGCCTTGTTGCTTACGCACTCAGAGCTACATCTGTCTACAAAGCTGCCTCCTTCATCCACTGTCAGTGAAGCTCCCTCTGGATTTACCGACTGCGCCTGGATCTCTGCTCGTCTGTCTCTTTTTCTGTCTGCCACGCCTTAACCCCTTGTGCACTCGTGTTTTCTCCCCTCTTATTTTTTTTTTTAGATGGAAAATCTGCTCTATAAACACAGTTCACATGCAGCCATTTCAAGCCTGCAGCGTCAGCCAACACCCAACTGTCGAGCGTAGGCTGAAGTTTAGAAATATTGTGGTGAGGAATTCGGCAGAGTGCAGTGTGTGTGCAGCATATGTGAGTGAGGAGTAATGCAGTAGTTCTGCTCAGTGTTGCTGTTGTGTTGTGAAGTAGGGACATCACCAGCTGTCACACATCTCCTCTAAGTCACGCTTCAACAAAGAGGCGCATCATAATAAGATAGTTACATCAGATCAGAGACGGTGAATGCGAGTGTGGAAAAGCTTGGTTGAGATTTGTGAGCATCTAGTCTCACCCAAAGCAAAAAAAACAATCCAGCCAAGAATCTAATCCACGATGCCACCAAGAGACAAATCCTGGCGCTGCTCCATTGGCAGCAGCCGGACACTGTGACAGAACGTGGGATTTGAGCATTTTCTGTTGCAAAAGTGTCTGGTCTAAAAGCTCATTTTGTGCACGTTGTCGCATGTGGACTCTCTTTCTGAGCTGATTTCACCCTCTCTCCTCTTTTTGTCGCACTGCCTCTTAGACAAGTCTTTTAATTATCTTTACACACCCTTTCAATTTTTCAAAGGGGCTTTTATCAGTCTAAATTGAGTCAACTCCGGCTGAAAGGAGCACAGGCTCTGCAGTAAAAGAGGCTCCATCTTCTCTCTCCTGCTTTATATTGTAACTATTGTCCAGACCTGCTTCCCCTTGTGAAGCAGCACAACATGACATTTTGAAGGCTTATTGAAGCAGGCCTAGTTATCCTTTATCTCAACACTGTGCTCCCTCACAAAGCGCCACAAGAAAAATGTGTGACTTTTGAAAATGTGTGAAAAAAGACAATTTGTTTTCTTCAGCACTGTTCGTGCACTTCATGATTTCCTGTCCTTTGATGGTCTAGCTCAAAATCAAGAAATTACTCATGAGCTTTAACAAGTAAATGTTAACATAACGATGTTTGCAAGTTGTCCAAAAGTGGAACGATGACCTTCGAAAAATAAAGAACGATTACAATTTCTATATATATTTAGTTTGACAGACAATTTCTAGAATATTTGGTTGTAAAGGGAAAATCACTGTCAGAGCAGTGTACAGCTTAATGAACCCGTAGTGAACTGCTTTTTCTATACAGTATATATATATATATGTATGAAGCATAAAGCCCAGTGTCTACCTTATTTGCCAAGCAAACCAAAGGGCAGATCCTCAAAGCTATTATCCCAAGAAGCACCAGATGTGTCTTCACAAAATCTTGCATGATCCAATATTCAACATGGAAAATCTGCAGATGCGTTTCAACTGCTCTAAATTTTTTCATGTCCACGAGCGAGGACTTTTTCAGCGGTTAAACATCGGGCGATTTAACGGACCAAACGGGGAAAAAAGAAATGGTTGCAACTGTTGTATATTTTGTAAATTTCAGATTCTGGGATAGATTTAGGACTAGACATAAATTGCGATTAGTTATTTGGCTGTAGTTAATTATCAGAATAATATAAGCCAATTTTGATAATGGATTATCAAGCAGAAATACTGCCAATTCACTGACTGCAAACTGAAGATGTCACCTTGGACTCTGAGCTACTCTCGCATCAATTTTTCCAATATTTACTGGACTTGAATATTAGTGTAATCGGATAGTTTGTTGGGTGGGTATTTGATTTAGGGATTCGATTTGTTTGATGTTTTTTTCTTTTTACTAGGCTATCAAAAAACACACTTTGTCCATTCCTGCACTATAGTTATGCTTAAATTGCAGTGTTAAAATTAGAAAAAATATATACCATCTAATCTTGGGCGCCTGACGCCCCTCTCAATCACAGCAGTGAACGCCACGCTTCGGTTCACCTTGGCCATTAAAGGGAAGACAAAATGCCGAAGACCTCAGCTGTGTGTGGCAGTGAATATTAGCTGCAGATTACTACCGAAGCTCAGGAGCCCAAAAGATTGTTTGGGGACAGCCCTAACAGATGAATCAATAATAAAAAGAATAGCCATGAGTTAGGACCAAGAAGTTTGGAGCAAAAGTTGAACTGAAAATCGACTCGGCAGATAAAAACAGCCACTGGAGTTTTTGTGGGGGAAAGTTAAGTTCACAGACACACAAACACAACCCAATGTGTGGAAAAGTCGGCCTACCTTGAACATTGCCAGCCCGGATCTCCTCTCTGCTCTTCAGAACTGGCATGATGGAGTGATCTGGGATTCGACTCCTCCTCTCATAGCCTCGGATGAAGGGATGGTAGACAGATGAAGTCACGCAGAGCTGCCTGAGGTGGGGTCCTGCAGGACGAGGGGTGAGGGGCGAGGGGTGAGCGCTCTTTAGGTTGGGTGAGGGTGGGATGTTGGGGAGTTATCTGTGTCTGGAGGAGGCAGGGGTGACTGTTTTTAAAGTGGAGTAATATGTACAAAGGACGCTTAATTACTTGATGATGTTACATATAAAGTTGACTGCCAACTCAAAATGTCAGCGTGCGTGTGAACTAAATATGTTGGCTGATGAAGGGACGCTGTTTCATTCGTCTCTTTCCATCCAACTCTCTTCCTCCGACGCTCGTGATGCAGCTCGCCAAGGTCTCCTCCCAGAAGTCTGCAAGTGTGTGAACACAGTTGCCGTGGAGATGAGAAGATGAGCAGCAGTGGGTGTGTACGTACTCCTCTTCTTCTTCTTCTTCCCTCCCTTACTTCTTCTTCTTAGGCTTTCTTGCCTTCGCTTTGCTTTAGCCAGTCATGTTGATGATCAGTTTTCCTCTTCCTCAGTCTGTCGGGGGGGGAGGAAGAAGAGAAGGACAGAGTCAGATAGCGGCGAGGGGCCGGGGATGGATGTGTTGTTGGTGAATGCCACTGTGGGTACAAGTCTATTGCCTCCGAGGTCAAGGCTTAGCTCAGTCAAGCTGCTGTGTCTACATGCCCCCTTTCACTGCAATCTCAATGTGTGGAGCGTTGTTGCCTAGTAATATCACTGTGCTATTTTCTGCTTAGGTGATGATCGGAGCACTTTCTTCTTTATATTCTTGTTTAACTGAAAGACTCGTTTTAAGACTGTGGCCATATTGTTCATATCAAGATGTCTCTACTTGAATATCTTGTTGTGTTGGACCACTTGTTGCAATGCAAGAAGAAGTGCTGCTGTGTTATTGGCTGAATTAGCTTTTCACATGATTGTTGCATCAACCTGATAAGGTATCCCGATTTGTTACGTTAAGCCCAATAAGGTCATTCTCGTCTGGTTATTTAACGTTTCACATTCGGGGGGATTTACTGTAGCACTATAAATGTATTTTTTCAATATTACAATATCAAATCACATACACTGTGATATATTTATTCCTCATCTGTACTTATTTTAGACCCGACTTTAAGTGATATTGTGACACTGTCATTTTTCAATGATTTATAGATGAAGATTAATAGATTAATCAATGAAAGCTTATTTTTGGTTGGAGCCACAGTAATGTTTTGTTATGTCAAATGCTTCTTCCTTTAAGACTTTAACTTAAGAAAAAATGTTCACATGTATATAATCACACAAATATTTTGTGTATCAGAAAATGTGTGTGAGTGTTTATCTGTGTATTTTGAGGAAGTCGGATATGTAGGTATACACATTTTAGCCTTAGGAAATTTGTCAGAGGTTATCTGCAAGTGTAGAATTGTAATCCTGTCTGGCAGTGTAATGAATTATATTATATTATATTACAATTTTTATTTACAAAAATCCATCTTTCTCTCTGACTCCTTCAAAGTCAATCATCTCCGACTCTCACAGTAGTATTAAAATGACACTGATGGCTTGACTAAGAATAATACAGTATTTCCTCAAATAATCCTCTGAAGGAAAACAACTGAATGAGGTTTGTTTGTTTGTTTGTTTGTTTGTTTGTTTGTTTAGTTCCCCAGCTAGGTAATGAATCAACAGCCTTTCAAAATGTTGAATAACGGGATATGATGCGAGTTATGTCAGAAAGACATTTTTACTAAGGCTAAGGTTCTACTGTGTGTGTCTGTTCTACTTCTTAAATCATCAAAATGTGTGTCAATATAAATGTTTTATCATATTAAACTAATAGACCTCCTATTTCTCTTTTCAGTACGTTTCATTTTCTTTATGGAAGGTTCTGATGTGCTCCGTATCTCCAGATTTTCCCAATCTTAACAGCTTGAATGACTCCTCTTTTGAACATAAATCCTTCATTAGCCTGAAACCCAAGAGGTGAGCATGCCCTTTTAAGCTTTTATATTTTAAACTACTGTGTGCTCTCAGCGAGGCAACATCACGCCACTCTTTTTAAAAGATATCTTAATCATTTATAGTGTTTGGGCCCAAAGACGCTGCATTAACTAGAAACTTTTAGGGAAGGAGCCCGCTCGTTCGCTCCCTTAATGGAGAATATTTAAGAAGAAGCTGCCGTAAGACACTTGTTATGTTTTTAACTTTGTATATTTGTAATACTAAGTGACAGCTTTATATCTTATGGGTATTTTGTGTTGTTAGGCTTCTGGCTGGCAGGAATCAACAAATGTACTAATATTTTAGTGTGGGTAAAAGATACTATACAGGCTGGATTTGTGCTTTGGTTTGGGGAACGAAGATTGAGTTGATTGAGTAAACAAATAACAGTGTGTTCTCATTTTGTCTAATCATCATCATGATAATTATGCCATTAATAGGCTATTAAGTTGATAAGCTAGTTAATTAACATAATAAGACATCTGGTTGGGGAAAAGCTACCCCAACTTTGGATCACCTATTAATGATATGATGCACTCTGAGAAATACGGCCTAGTGTGTCCTCTATAGAGTACAGTGCACTCATTAAGGTCATGCTGAAGAATGTGATACAGTGAAGCTGGTGCATGAGTCACTTTACATGTTATGTGATTCATTTGCAGAGATCTAGTCATTTCAAGAGATCTGCTGCAGATCCATGGAGCAGGAAACAAGAAGAAATGCAATGGAGGAGTGGAGGAGGAGGAGGAGGAAGAAGAGGAGGGCATCAACAAAGCATTGGTTTCCAAATCTCGACCAACTAAGATGCATTACAAAAAGGAGAGGAAGAGGGCTTACATTAATGCATGTAAATGCATGCACCTGCACTGGACTCATTGAGTGAGGCAACTGATGTAAACTGATGGAGAGTGATCTAACCAAATTAACTACAAGTATTTATAGCTGGTTTTTGCCATAAAATATAAATCTTCATAGAGGGAGAAATCTCAAAATCACCATTGAGAGAAGTGATCATGCGTGACATTCTTAGATATCACAGTACGTTTATAGAAAATGGATAAAGATCAAAAGCATGGTCTGATAAACAACCAATTAGTCACAGCAGGGTGAAGAAAGGTTTAGCAGCACAAGCGATGAGGAGGAAAATATAAAGATACTCTTCACAGAGAACCTGCTGATTAAAGTTCATGCAGAAAAGCTTTCCATCGGGATCATGCCGACACTCGAGTGCACGCACACAAACACATGCACACTTGCTGCACACGCATTCAGTGCATTCACTGTTCATGCATGTGCATACACTCAGTTGCCAAGAAGAAGTGAGTGCTATATGAATTCACTACTCACCTAATTAACTCTTTTCTGTAACACATAATTTATAGACTGTAGTGGAGATGTTTTAAAGAGGAGCAGAGTTGAGACACAAAAGCAAAGACAGAGCAAAACGAGTGGTCCTTCATATTCCTTCATGACGACATCCCACTCTCAGAACAATCAAGAAAGTGGTGTTTTTTAGCCCCTTTATCAGTCCATAAGAAAGGGGGGAAAGGGAGACTAACGTGGCTTTGTGTGGGCCTAATGTTTCACCTGAAGGTTGAGTGCACAAGTAGATGTCCATAGGCTAAACACTTTTAGTCTAGCAGTAGTAATGCTTTAAAACAGCTCTTGGCAAAAAGGTGTGGCAGTGAGAGACGAAGCTTTAAACACAACGTAAAGAAAGAAGGGAAATGTGACAGAGGAAAAGAGAGAGGTTGTGATGAAATGGGATATTAGGTTTTATCTATTACTATCTGTCTATCAGTCTGTCTCTATTTTACAACCTGCACAACCTATTACATCTTAAATCCACCGCAAGGCATCGCCCACTTAATCCACTGTTCAACACCCAACTAATGCCAACCGGTCTCTCTCTTGCCTGACGAAATAAGGAGAATGAAGACAAGTGGAGTGCGGAGAGCTTCAGGGATGAAAAAAAGGCCAGTTCTTCAAGGAAAATCTATCGAAACGAGCGAAGGGAAAATTAAAAAAAACATGCAGAAGCACAAGGATTAAATTCTGAAAATTATTTTGATGAGCGTATTTAAGGATTTAGGATTGTGTGTGTTGGTTGTATGAGAACTAATGGCTGCTGATGGACAGGCAGAATGAAAATAAGCACAAATCAGGCATGAAATGGGATACAGCCATAGTGACTCTGAATGCAGCTTAATACATAACATGTAGAGATTATCATTTATTTTAGGACAAATATTCCCAATTTAACCTTAAATAATTTGAAGGGAAGCTTTAGTGCCGAGAAATGTATCTCATCCTCCCTAAGGACTACATTTAAATCTTCTTTCCATGTTAATTCACAACAGGTTGCCAAACTTGATATCTTTATTAAATGGGAAAGAGGACGTGACGTGTGGACACATAGAAAAAGACTTCTCAAAGACAACAATTAAAAATGGGCGCACTTTGCCATGATGAGAAGAACAGATGAGGAGGGTGTGAAAACGCTGCGAGACCAGACCGATATCGACTCACTGAACACTGTTGTTTTAGGCATAGTTTAGTGTGCGAGTGCATGTGTGTGTTAATGTGTGTTTTATGTATACGTAAAGCACACACAAATACACACAGACAGACAGATGGACAGACACTAAACGATAGTTAACCTACCTAGAGTAACATTTAAGAATCCCGCAAGAGTGTGATGCAAAGAAAATGGGTGTGGAGGGACCAAAAGAGAAGGAAAAGGGGAAAAAAGAGTCATTCATGAGGAGATTTGTAGTTGTCTTTGAAGAAAATTCATCCAAGTTCATATAACATCAGACTTTAGAGACAGAAAGAGGCGTAGGATGAGGAAAAAATGAACTGATGGCAGCAGCTAGAAATTAAATGGCAAGGAGGGACTGACAGGTATGATATGGTTTGGTGAAAGGGAGGGAGGAGTGGAGAGGAGGAAAGAAAGGACAAAAAATAAAATAAAACTCCTCTCTCCTTCCTCTTTTCTCCCAATCATAAATATAGAAAATTATACACTAGGTAGATGGAGAAGTAAATGAGGAGGCAAATGACGGAGAGAGAGACTATATGAAAAGATGAAGCACCTCCCAGCACCGCGATGAGGAATACGAAAAATATAAAACGAAAGAAAAAATTGAATACTCCAAAGCCTTCCGTTTTTGCAATGTTAAGTGAGGCGAGGGGGGGGGTTGTCAGTTATATCCCCCCTCTCTCTCTCTCTCTCTCTTTCTCTCTGCAACTGGTCTTCTTTTATCTTCTGTTCTCCTCAAAGCAAGGTGCCACCTTCCCCTTCAGATGAGCTGTGACCCTTTGCCAACACAGCTGTTAGACATGCCACTCAGGACGGCTGCACGGTGGGACCTGCTGCCCAGAGATATAGAGAGCGGAGCGGAAACACACCTCTGGCTCCGAGCGCAGAGCACAACTCTCACCGCACTGACTCGCTCTCCTCCCCCTGCCAGAGAGAGGGAGAGAGAGAGACAGGGAGCGAGTGGGAGAGAGATGGAGGTGGGTTTCTCTATAGGGTTGTGAATAGATGCTACAGTGAAGAAGGGCTGTTGCAACAATTGTCATTTTTTTTTTTTGCAAAGAAAGCAATGGCTCCCTCTGTTGTTGCACTGCGCTGGAAATAAAATGCTAATTTGAGGTTTAATCAGGAATTAGCAATTTATTAATAATACCTTGGCAAGCAACACAAAATGTAAAAGCATTGGTGTTATTATGTCACCAAAACACTTCCTTGTATGTTGTGTATTGGGAATCTATTTATTTGAGCCAAAAAGTTTATAAATGTATTTTTTGAAAATGTAGCGCCAACCTTTTGAAAAACCAAATAAACCATAATGCCTCGACTCTATAATAAGATGCTTTGATGTCCTTTTAGGAATCAAATGTTTTTGTCTCTAAAAAACATATGTTAAGATATTTTTTTCATATTTTGCAAAAACTGAATATTGTTCTGTATACTCAATGCGAGTTTTCTCACAGTATAAGTCAATGATTAGCATTAGGATTAGGATTTGAAGCATTTAGTTTAGTTTGTTTTCTGCCGTGTCAGACAAAGAAAAAAACGACAAAAATGTCCCTTATTCGTAAACTGCTATAAGAATACTATACTAAAATTATATTTTACTCAAACTAAGTTGCATTTGATAATCATAACTCCTGAATATAACTACCAAATATTTACTCATTTACAGAGTTTTGACCCAGATGTTTGTTTACATAATGTCACTGTTGTTTTTGTTTTTTTATCAAAAATTGTTTTCTGTATACTAAATGCTAGTGGGGATTTTTTTCAAACACATAATGCCTTTAGCAATGTAGCCATGCCTTTAGTGGAAACCAGGAGAATTGCAAATATTTTCCCCATATGGCAAACATGAGAAAATGGCACTATCTGGTGGAAAATACTAAAAACTACAATTTTAAAGCCAAGGCATTGGGATTATAAACCAGGAATATTAAAGTCATGATCCTATGCTGTGGTGGCCAAGAGATCAAAACGTCTGAGTCTCGGTAGTGTTGCAATATACGTTTGCCAGGGGGACATTGTTTGTTGATGCACAGGTGGCCCGGGGGGACGACAATGACATCAGTCCAGGGACCAGGCATGAGCGTCAGTTCTGAAGTTAGCACGGCTAGGATGTTGCATTGTATCTTGTGTGCAGTGGCGGCGCCAGAGCATTTTTGTTGGGTAATCTATGGTAGGGCTAACCCATACAGTGGTGGTGCTCAAGTCAGTATTTGCAATGTAATTACATACACGCTATATCGCCCCCCTTGACAGTGAAACGCCACGCGTGAGGTTTAGATTATTTCCCTGTCTCAATCAAAATTGAACTGTATGAAATAAAACGGCACATTTGTCTTGTAGTAAATAAAAATGGATCACTGTGAACGTGACGTATGATAGTACACGTTGAAGATCCAATGGGGATACTGAATGGCGGTTTCGATTGATCTCAATCAATAAGGCATGACGCAGATCCAACGTTGCGTTGCTCTGATTGGCTGTAGGTCTATTCAAATTGCATTCGGAGGCATTTTGATCTGACCGCGGCCGCGCTGATATTTTAACGCCAGAGAATTTCCACACCTTTAGTGTATAAAACTCCCCCACTACTTAGACTATTCCTTGCACCCCTCTTATAGCATAAGCCCGAATGGTCTCAACCATATTGGATCAGTAACGTGCACTTGTTGTTACAGCAGGATCAGTTTGTGTGCTGTGGACACGACCCGTATATTTTCGCAATCCGTGTTCTCAACATTTAGCATTTTGCTTATTATTTAATTGAATTTGCATCACTTTTCATGGTGGGGCTAAGGTGGGGCTAAGCCATTTCTTGGTATGGCTGTAGCCTACCCCAGCCATACCCTGGCGCCGCCACTGCTTGTGTGGAACATAACAAGGTTCAAGGTTCTTTAATTAGTCATGCGAACATAGCTACAGTGTAGTTATGCCGATGAAAATCTTAGGTAGGAATGCTTCCATCGTCAATTTTGGGGCCGATCGCCGGAATCAGTATCGGCCGATACCGATCGCCGATCTGATCGAGTGGGTGGGGGCTATGGGGATCTTCCATTTAAAGTGATGTTTAAAACTCAGTTAATGGGGCTCATTCACTGGCGCTTCCACAAACAACAACCAACATAATTATTACATTCAAATTAAGTACATTATTCAAGTTTACATTAACTGTCTTTGGATAATAACACGGGAGAAATGAGCGGAAGCGCTTTCTTTTCCTCTCTCCCCCTCTCTCTCCCTCTCTCTCTCTCCTGACAGCCTGTCAGTATCGTCTCATGCAGCTCACTGATCCAGTAATGAGTGACCCGACAGTGAAGAATAAATATATTTATAATTAGGGATGTCCCGATCCGATCACGTGATCGGGGATCGGTGCCGATCACGTGATTTTCACGTGATCGGGGATCGGGAGAAAAAAATCGGGGATCGGAATTTTTTTTTTTTTTTTTTATAAAATATTTGTATACATTTTATTTAATGTTACAAAACAAAAATGACCATGTTCACGTCTTAAAGTCATCCTGAGGCCTTAGTTTTGGGTTAAAATTACACAACATCATGTATGTGTTGCTTCTTTTGGGCTTGTTTTCATAGACCTGGTTGCTTATTTCTCTCAAATCTGGCAACAGAGTGGGCGCAGTGTCTAATAGTAGCAGTAAGCTAACAAGAGGCTACGTTCAGCTGGTGACTCGGGAGTCGGGACAGAGAAAATGTCAGGAGTTTGGAAGTATTATAAAATTGAAAGCGAAGGCAGTGTAACAGCCAGATGCAATGTTTGCAAGGCGGAGGTTCCGCGTGGTGGAAAGAACAGAGCTACGTTCAACACGACCAATCTAATACAAACACCACCAACAACAACACGACGAGTACACAGCGGCCACTCAGGTAACGGCACTGAAACAACCGACACTTTCAGAGACTTTTAAAAGGAAAGAGAAACTACCCCAGAACAGCCAAGATAGCTGAATTCATCGCGTTGGATGACCAGCCGTTATCTGTTACCTTTTTTTTCCTCTTAATGCATTGCATAAAGATCGGATCGGGAAAAATCGGTATCGGCAGATTGTCAAAATCAAATGATCGGAATCGGATCGGGAGCAAAAAAAGGTGATCGGGACATCCCTATTTATAATTAGTTTAGCTTGTTCCAGAGGTGGATAAAATAGCTAATGGCGCATTTCCACTACACGGCCTCGCTCGGCCTCGCTCGGTATGGCTAGGCCTCGTTAGGACTGGCTCACTTTATGGCGCATTTCCATTACAGTTTAGGAACTGGGGTAGTATCTATAGTAACGCAGTGTAGGCGGAGCCGTGACGTCATCTTCAATGAGAACCCCAGAAAAACAACACAGCCGTTAGCTGTTAGCACTCAGAGCTCACAGCTCCTCATATATGTTCAGAAACTAGACAAAAGTTAAACAAGTACAAACCACAGACTGCCTGTGTCATGGCGAATACAGTCGCTGCTTTATTTATGTCTGTATAGGCCGTTGTTGTGAGTGTGGACGGTCGGAGCATATACTGCGTTAGCTTAGCCAATCTCCATTTAGAAAAGATGCATTTTAAAAGGTTTTTCGCCTGCCGTCTGTCTGCAGACTTGTCAAAGCATTAATTCATGGTTTTTACTAACCGGTATCAGTATGTTGTTACTTCGGCATCATTTTGAAATGTGTATTACAATTAAATCACGGTCAAATATGTCCATCTTGTTGTAGTTGTAGCCCCCTTGCCAGCGATTCTCTCTCTAGTTTAGCATACTCAGCCGGACTCAGCCTCGTTGTCTCTGGCCCTAGACCCACAATTTTATGAGGCCAGAAAAACTGTGAATTAGGACCCGCCGGCCGGTACTAGGCCAAGTGGAAACGCAACCAAAAACGGGCCGCTGACGTCACAGCCCTCTTAAACCGTGCTCCACGCTGTAGTGGAAACGCGCCATTAGTGTGTTAGGTCTAACTCTTAGGCCCCGGCTCCACGAGGACGGAAACTGGTTGAATCCGCATATTTCTCATGCGTATAGCCCTCTAAGCTCCACGACGCCGTAAGGGAAACGTAGAAACAGACCCCACAAACGACAACGGGTCCAAAGGTGGATAGATCTGGGAACTGAGCGCTCTGGGGGGTCCAATGGGGCCGTGGAGTCGCCTATACGGTCATTCGTTTTCATAGCCCCGCCTCTCCCCCGCGGGGTTGCTATCGTGCTCCAGTCGCTACTGACCATGCTACAGTTCTTTGTGCAACATCTACAGGAGCTCCTCCTTGAATTCAGATTATTTATCTTTATCTCGATATGGACATAAACGCGAGTGAAGTCTAATCTGACAGGACGGAGACACGCAGCTCCTGCCGCTGTGATGCAGCGGGAGCAAAACACACACTTCAAGTCAGATCATCACCCTTAGCTATTTTAATTACCTCTCAAACTACCTAAACTAGT